TGTGTCGCTAAAGTTTCTTCGGAAAGAATTTTTACGGAAAAATTAACTAACGACCAGAGACGTAACAATACTAAAAAAGAGAGCGTCTGGCAAACACTCGGACATTCGCGGGATTCCCCGATAATTCTAGAAACTCCAGCGCGCATGCACCTAGCATCACGCGACTTCCGCTGTCGTAACAGTATATTCGTTTATGGGGTACCCCGGGGCTAGGAGTAACCGGTCATGTGCTTAATAAGCGTAATGCAATAGTCCCTCGTGAGGTCAAAGTTAAGTAGTAATATTGTCTTCATTATAACATTCAATGGCCGCAAGTCTCCAAGTAATTCTCTTATTTTCGTTTTTAAAAAACTTTCAGTGACTCATATTTCACAAGCTTTCGAACTTTTTATCGTAAATTCAAAATTTACTTTTTTTAAATAAATCTGTATATTTGTAGACAAAGTTTTAACAGTCTTATATTTAGATATTACGGTGTAATTCATATCCCTCTACAAAATCATTCTTTCTGTTTCAGAGACAAATGGATATTGTCAAAATTCGATAATTTACTTTTATATTTTTACAGTAGATGCCAAAAACCCGAATATTTTTAGTATTGCGATTAGATGGATGCTGCGATTACGTGGCTACATCACGAACCCAACAGTCGAATACGAAAGTTACGATGGCTGGTTTAACAACCGTGCTCTACCCCATCTTGGGGCCACAAGTGAGTTATCAGGATTATTTGATACTTGAATAAAACCTGACCATATTTATTCATCAAATATTCAGAACTCAAATAAATGTTTAACTCCACCTTTCTCGAAAGAAAGAAAAACGACCTGCTTTAAAATTTAGTTTTACTTTGAGCATTACTTTACTACATAATACATTACAATTTCACAGAAACACGAGGTGGAAATGAAATAATGAATGATTTAAAGTTTCGTCTGATTGAGCAAGAATAAATAAACTTAGTATTATGTAAAATGGAAAAGCATGTTCATCAATACTCAAATTCTTGACGTGTAATTTTTAATATGATGAAACATCGTGTTAGGCCTAAGAGTTTTATTTTGTTATATACTTAGTGAGTCTCTAATATCAATTGCACTCTATATATTTATAAAGCGAACATGTTAAGTGTATTATTTGTATGTCAAACATCATTGTTCGTGAGACTTTTTTTTTCTCAAGTTAAAGAACGCTCTTCCGGGGTTTGGTCTGCAGCTACCAAAATCATTCCTCTATATAAAGATATTAAATTGTATATGTTTTAGCAGAGCCAGTGGTGTAGTGCTAAATAAAGAAGTGTGGGAACGCGTTTTGAAAGTGTTACTATGATTAGTATTTATTTCGTCATCAATACATAAAAACACATATTTCAGAAATAGTAACTATAAATTGTAATTTACTTTAGAAGCACGAACCTTATCATTACGAAAAAGAGGTCTAGGCTGTTAATCAACCATGTGACAACTCTCATGTTCATTAGCTTCACGACCTTCTAATTCAAAACTGGAAACCAGGCGACTATGTACACAAATGCCTTAAGAGTTATCGTTCAGTAACACACATGAACAAGAGTAGCCAAGTCCAGGGAATTCACTGTGGACCAAGCTTGGAAGTTCTGTTAATGTGTTATCCAGGAATTCAAAAGTTCAAGGTGAGATAAATTAATTTTTTACTGTAACGTTTTGAAATGTAGAACCGTCGTTTGCATTCAGAAGAACTGCATGGGATGACTTTTCAACACCCGATTAAAATATTCAGATCTGATGGAATACGGCGTCCATGGTTGTCTAGAAAGTCTCTGTATGCTGTGGTCGTTTTTGAAAATGGCAATATGAAACGTTTACAAAGGGACTCTATTTCCTTTTCTCCAAAACCTGGATTTATCTCTCCTGGCCACTCATTGACTTCTAAGGTACGGAGCTCAGAAATTATGTTTGGAATAGAATTAGAAGTGCCTGGCTGTGACCCAGTTGATGCATGAGAATAAGTTGGTGTGAATAACCATTGTTTCATATTGTTTATGATACTGGTTAAAAAATTGACCATGAATGATTGAAACATTTTTGTTGTTATCTGTCGTGTTATTACTGAAACTTCATTTCCTTAATTGCATTGTCTGCTTCTAAGGCCTTTTTACCCTTATGTTCTATCATTGCTTCTAAAAACCGCATGCTGCGACAAATTAACTTGTCTGTATAAACTATAGTAATATCCCTTTTCTGTAAGGCTTCTAAAGTAATTAACAAGTTAGAAACGTTAGCTAAATCAAAACAGGCCGTATTTATATTAATGGAAGCTAAGCATTTATTGGTTACTGTTTTAGTATGGTTAAATAGGATCTTCATAAGTTCTTATACATATTTACACCTATACCACTAAATCAGGGGAGGTAACTAACATTCAAATACCTAACAAGTTTATTGGATTGGATCAGACTTTGTCTACAGCCATATCGTAAATATTTTCTCTCACTTTTATATAGTACTTTAAACAATGCTTGTTGCAATCATTGTACTACAAACAAGCCGATAAACTCTACCCAACTGTGTTTTCGAGGCCGAGAAAAGTCTAATGCCAAGAGTGGCGATTCATTGCTTTATTTTCCGAAGGTTTCTACTTCAGCGGCTGAGAGTAAAATAAACATATGAAATAGGTGTGAAAAGTAGAAATTCTCATGAGATTTACTCTGGAAATTCGTGGTCCATACTCAAAAGTCCCGACAGTACTATTTACTTTGTTTCGTCGAGTTCCTAAGTCAGTTGCTAACTTTTCTGTAGTTATTATATTTATGTGTCAAAAAGTGAGAAGTATAAACTCTGACCATAAGTTGTGTGGAACTTTGTGATCAATATTAACAAGTCAGTTGCTAACTGATCAATATTAACAAGTCAGTTGCTAACAATATAATAACTACAGAAAATATGTGTCAACAAGTGAGAAGTATAAACTCTGACCATAAGTTGTGTGGAACTTTGTGATCAATATTAACAGAACTACACATTTTATTTTGCAATCTTTTCTTTCATTATACTTTGATAAGTTGCCTACAACCTGGATGAAAGAGTTAGTGATTCTTTCTTCTAGGGGTAGGCAAAACTTCACGAGGCTTGAGATTTGTAAGGTCGAATTCGTTTGAAATAGTGAGGGAACGGTGTTCCGGCTAAAAAAAAAGTTAAGGGAATGCCGTTCCCACGCGTTCCTACACCACTGAGCAGAGCCGCTCTTGTTGCAATATGAAAATAACGCCACAGGTTGACTGTACATACAGTTTACGGTGTGATGAAAGTAACCATATTTCATACAAAAGACTGTACATATAGCTAACAGTGTGGTGAAAGTAACCTCAATTCGTACAGCATGACAAAGGTAACCACATTTCATACAGGTTATTTTACTCATAGTTTATGTTATCCTTGCTGATCGAACATTTGTTTCTGAAATTTAAGTTTCTCTTTATAACTTTAGAAAACATTACTTTGAAACGTACGTGATTAACCTTTATGTGTGTGTGTGTGATTGACCTTTTTTTTATTGAATTACCACAACAGGCAGCCCAGTTATTCGACTACTAGGGACAGGGTATGCTCTTAAACAGCCATCAGACACTACTCGGCCAACTAGTAGTTTAGTTGGTAAAACGTTGGAATATATACTTTACCAGAAAAGTGTTACTAGCGGAAGGAATATTCTGTTTCTTTATTTCGGTAAGTGATTCACTTTGGTAGAATGTTAGTGAGAACGAGATTGCTATCAAACTTGAACTTCTTGTAAAGGTATATAGACAAACAGATATGATAACGTAAAATTTCTTGGTTATACCCTCTAGGTTATTACTTTTAGATCCTAAACTGTACCAGTTTCAGTGATTGAACATATATGTGTTAAAGATTTATTTTCTTTTTCACCAGAGGTGAAACTTGAAAAGAGAATCAGTGACGTAGAGGCCTAATGCAATCTTTGATTGGCCGTACCCTCTGCTGTGGACTGCAGTTTTGTTGTGTAATATCGAACAATGAATTCGACGAAATGTCAAAACATTATTCACATACCTAAATGGGGTCACATCTCAGAATTGCTGCCTAACACTACCAGAATTTTCGTGTGCTTGCATTTTCAATTTTTCTAAGAACTTAGCTTGAAACGCTATGGATGCAACAGCGATTGCAAAACAACCAATATGCTTTATCTTATCATATACATATAAGGTTATCTGATGATATATAAATTATTTGAAAATTCAGCAATAGTTGTTGATACACTAACAAAAAATTAATACGATACTAAGAATACGTACTATTATCACTACGAAAAGGCATAAACCATTATCAGAAAATACTGTTCCCCACGTCTTTTATCCCACTGGAATGAAATTAGACATTTGATGATAAGTCATATGGTTTGAAATGCGAATAGTCACACATTGTCTTGTGAGTTGTCACTTTGAAGTAATTCAGGGTTAGTTTTCAGTTCTCAAATTTGTTTATGAGAAGACTGTTAGATGTTTCATTCACGTGGAGAATATCTGGGAGAGTCAAAGCTCATTCTAATTGGCTGTTGCATACAAGGTTCCTTAGCAGAATGTCGATCCACTTCCAAGCTAGCAGTATACAGTTACTTGACCACTTAGTAGACCAATCATCATCCACAACTCAAGTTCATACGGATTCGCTACAGTTTTTGTGCACCTACTGTGAGACTGAATGAGATGTTCGTAGCCCCACTGGTTTTCAAGTTTCTGCACAGCCAGCTAGAAACAGACCTCACAAAACGTCTCGACTACAATGGTGTCCAGATTACCTCCAATACAACAATGAGATGTGGAGTAATATTCTTATAACAAATGAGTTTCCTTTATCCTGCAACCAAACAACAATCTTTAGCCATAATTTGCTGGTGCAACTGTCTCTGAATTCAACCTGACTGATGACAACACCCACCCACTCTGTACTAAATCGGCATATTCCTTGAAGACATGAATGGTCTGCACATTCACCAAAGTTCAGTCCCATCGATCGTGCATGAGATAACCTTAGGAGACACTTTGAATTCTGTCAAGTGACTCCAAACATTAAATATGTTTTAGAAACAACTATTTCAGATGTGTAGCCGAGGATACCTCAGGACCTTATCAACACTTTAAACATGCATCATTGGTCACTCTACTCTTGCTGTTGGCTGAGGATACCTCAGGACCTTATCAACACTTTAAACATGCATCATTGGTTCACTCTACTCTTGCTGTTGGCTGAGGATACCTCGGGGCCTTATCAACACTTTAAACATGCACCATCAGTCCACTCTATTCTTGCTGTTGGCTGAAGATACCTCAGGACCTTATCAACACTTTAAACATGAATCATTGGTTCACTCTACTCTTGCTGTTGGCTGAGGATACCTCGGGGCCTTATGAACACTTTAAACATGCACCATCAGTCCACTCTATTCTTGCTGTTCTTGGTGACTTTACTCCTGTAGTAAGTAAAACATATTTCGTGTTTCCTCTTCTTGTTTTAAATGACTGGCCGAGATGCTGATGACAACTTCTTGGTTTGGCTGAGCTTCCTGTAGTTAGAACGATTACTTGATTATGAGATCATTGACTTAAAAAACTGGTATTCCTTGCCTTCCAAGCTCTCAAACAGTATTTCACGGTAAAATGTAAGTGGTATTCCTTGCCTTCCAAGCTCTCAAACAGTATTTCACGGTAAAATGTAAGTGGTATTCCTTGCCTTCCAAGCTCTCACACAGTATTTCACGGTAAAATGTAAGTGGTATTCCTTGCCTTCCAAGCTATCACACAGTATTTCACGGTAAAATGTAAGTGGTATTCCTTGCCTTCCAAGCTCTCACACAGTATTTCACGGTAAAATTTAAAGTGGTATTCCTTGCCTTCCAAGCTTTAAAAATGTCTACTTTCAGTTTCTGCAAACATTTTGTCAAAACATTCCTACATATCCCTCATAAATGGTATTGAAAATTATAATACTGAACTTAAAATCAAAATATTCCCATAGCAACTGCCCTAGCAACGGAATTCATGGCAATTAAGAATATTTGTGGTGATAATTTCCTAAATTGTTTGACACAAACTTAATGCATAATAAAGTGGCTGGTCTTAAAAGACTACAACGATGCTGAAACTGTTGGCTATTGTTGTTTGTTATTAAGCACAAAGCTACACAAAGGGCTATCTGTGCTCTGCCCACCACGGGTAACGAAATCCGGTTTCAATCAGTCTAAGTCCGCAGACATTCCGCTGTGCCACTTTTCTGGCTACTACGTCCACTCCTTTATCTTTTGCAAGTTAAATCCGTCATCTTATAGTTTTATTTACTACCAAAAAATTTAAAGAGTTGGGTGTATTTTCTTTCATTCTAACTGAAGAAATTTCAATGGCAAATAAGAATGTCTGAAGAAGAAAACGAATGTTCCATAGGAAACAGCATATTTACAAGTCAATGCCTAAATGTAGAAGAACTGAGCCACATACCACTTCAGTGGCAGGGAATATACCAAAACATGGGCGGTAAACTGTTACACCCTAACTATAAGAGGTCTGTAACTGGAGGGTTGATTTGTAGTGTTGAAAATAAATACTTTTTTTTTCATTATTTTGTGATAGTCTGACATTTGGGGTGAGAGGTTCATGCTTTGCCTCTCTTCGTAAGCTTTAAATTGATGTATAAATAGATATTCTGAATGGGTCCGGCATGGCGAGGTGGTTAGGGCGCTTAATTCGCAATCTACGGGTTGCGGGTTCGAATTCCCGTCCCACCAAACATGCTTGCCCTTTCAGCCGTAGGGGGCGTTATAATTACGGTCAGTCCCACTATTCGTTGGTAAAAGAGTAGCCCAAGAGTTGGCGGTGGATGGTGATGACTAGCTGCCTTCCTTCTAGTTTTTCACTGCTAAATTCAAGTTCATCAAAGTTTTAGGTCCTTAGTTTGTCCTAGAGTCTAAAACTAGTAATGCATACATCAGTGGGCTGTAAACACCTTAATAGGACATTGCGGACACTAATTACTTTCAAGTTCATCAAAGTTTTAGGTCCTTAGTTTGTCCTAGAGTCTAAAACTAGTAATGCATACATCAGTGGGCTGTAAACACATTAATAGGACATTGCGGACACTTGTTACTTTCAAGTTCATCAAAGTTTGAGGTCCTTAGTTTGTCCTAGAGTTTAATTCAAGTTCATCAAAGTTTTAGGTCCTTAGTTTGTCCTAGAGTCTAAAACTAGTAATGCATACATCAATGGGCTGTAAACACATTAATAGGACATTGCGGACACTTGTTACTTTCAAGTTCATCAAAGTTTGAGGTCCATAGTTTGTCCTAGAGTCTAAAACTAGTAATGCATACATCAATGGGCTGTAAACACCTTAATAGGACATTGCGGACACTAATTACTTTCAAGTTCATCAAAGTTTGAGATCCTTAGTTTGTCCTAGAGTTTAAAACTACTAATGCATACATCAGTGGACTGTAAACACCTTGATAGAGCATTACGGACACTTACTTTCTGAGCTATAGAACAATTTTCAATAGTGAGGTATTTGTATGACAAGTAGTGGAGTAGTAGTAGAGTTTACGTGATGACCACCTGCTCCTCGCAAGACTCGTACGTCCAGTGCCCATAGTTGTAATGACGGAACTGTGTGTGTGTGATCGCTAGGATTTATAATGCGTCTGAAGGCCTAAAGGACATTGCCAACTTTAACTTTAATCTCCAAGCCATTTTTATGGTTATCGTTTGCAGAATATTTTGATGTCAAAACCACCTGAACGTGTGTGTTAGTGCGAAGTTCTATTGATCTAAATACAATATTGATCTAAATACAATATTCTATTGTTGATCTGAACAATATTCTATTGATCTAAATACAATATTGCGTAGTAATTAATATTAACTTCTGTTCAAAGCAGCGACACTATAAATACAAAAAACCTGGTAGTGAGTATAGCTAATTAAGTACAATTTCCTTACGTTATTACTAATGCAGATTAGAATGCATTGTTTCATCAATTGGGTGTCCTCGCTGTTAACAGTATTTTCGGCCGTAAACCTAATAATACTTCAAGAGGTTCGGCCATGTTAGGAGATTTAGGATAGCCCCAAAATCCGTATAATAAGCTCTATAATAAAAGTATATAAATAATAATATAAATTAAAATAATTACGTTAAAGATACATTAAACATTATATCCAATATTATTAATGAAAATAAAAATAAAGAAATAACAGAGTATACTTTACTTACGGAACAAAATAACACTAGCTGTTAACTTCGAGAACTGTCCTTGATTTAATGCTCAGTATTTGTTGAATTCAACTGTACAAACCCCGCCCAGCCAGTAGCCGAACTATCATGACATTATATTCCCATTTGCATTCAATCCATTCACGCCAGAAAAGAAAACTAGACAAAATTTAATGAAACAAGCACTTTTCCATAAAGATTCATAGCTATACCTGATTCATATTCTGTAATGAAAAAAGTTTGTTTGTTTGTTCGTAGTTAAGCACAAAGCTACATAATGGGTTAGCTGTGCTCTCCCACCACGGGTATCGAAACCCAATTTCTATCGTTGAAAGTCTGCAGGCATGCCGCTGTGCCAATGGGGGGGGGCGCTGAAAAAACATAAAAGAACGAAACTCCCTCACTCCACATTGGGAGCCACATATACTCGTGTTTACTGGCTACGT